TGCCTGCATGTGCCCACACGTACACACACATACTCGCATGTGCCGGGCTCTCACATAGGTAGGAGTCAGATTGCTGTGGCTCTCTCTGTTCTAACTGTGTGGACCTCTTCACTATTTGAAAACAGCAAGGCTCCTCTTACCTCAGGATCTTAGTGCTCCGAGGCTGCTCTCCCCACATGGTCCCCTTGTCAGAGACCTCCAGACCCACCTACACGAAGGAGCGATCCATGTGCTCACCTCCAACATTTCTCCCTTGGCCTCTACCCCCACTTAGCTAACCTATGGAAGTTTCTAGACCTTTATCTCTCTGTCTATACCGGTTTCTCCTTTCTTTACTGTATTCATTTTTTTTATTGTCTCTCTCCACAAACTCTTTTCTCAGTTGATAGGCATTTTGTCTGTCTAGTAGATGTCCAATAGTTAGCTGCTGACTAAACAAATCCTTCTTGGTATACAGTAGGAGCAAATGTGTGGATCAAGGCTGTTAGTTGCAGAATATTTCCAACCAAGATAAAGAAAAAAATGATTCATTCAGGGAATTGGGCAGATTGCAGAGTCAGGACTCTGGGAAGAAGCAGATTCAAGCTGCAGCTTCCAGAAATGTCTGCCAGCAGAGCTGGCTCTAGCCTCTGCTGCAGTCAGCAGGCTGCTGCCACAGCGTGGGCTGCAAAGGTGTGCTGAGGCTGTCTGTTACCATCCACTATGGCAACTTCGTGCTTTTCCCCCCTAGGAACTCGGGTCTGAACCTAGGCGTTGTGAGGGTGTACATGGGGCGGAGCCAAAATCCAGTGTCTCTTCTGTAGTGACAAGGCCTGGAAATGGGCTCCCCCCCCCAACATTCAGTATTAGGAAGGCAATATTCATTGTTGTTGTTGGGGGTTTTTACTCTTTTCTGGGGGGCCTGCCACCCAGCTCCCAAGTAAATCACACACAAAGTCTTATTATTACTTATGAATGCCCAGCCTTAGCTTGGCTTAGTTTCTAGCCAGCTTTCCTTATCTTAAATTATCCCATCTACCTTTTGCCTCTGGGCTTTTCCTGTTCTCTTACTTGTGTAAATCTTACTCTTACTCTGTGGCTTGCTGGTTGTGTGGCTGGGTGGTTAGCCCCTGATGTCCTCCTCCTCCTCTGGCTACTAGATCTCCTTCCTCCCAGATTTCTCCTTCTATAGATTCCCTCTGCCTGCTAGCCCCGCCTATCCTTTCTCCTGCCTTGCTATTGGCCAGCTCTTTATTAGACCATCAGGTGTTTTAGACAGGCACACTAACACAGCTTCACAGAGTTAAACAAATGCAACATGAACAAAGTAACACACCTTAAAATAGTCTACTACGGTTCATAATCCGGTCTGAGTCTAGACTCTGTGGCTGAAGCATAATGCCAGAGACTGGGTGATTTGCAATGAGCAGAAGTACTTAGTTAGGCTCACGGTTTTGGAGGCTAGGAAGCCAAAGAGCATGGCACAGACATCTGATTGGCTTCTGCTGAGGCCTCAAGCGGCTGCAACTGTGGTGGAAAGCTGAGAGGAAGCGGGCGGTGCCAAAGGGACCAGAGCAAGGACGAGTGTTGCGTCATTTCCCATCTTCTGCTTTCCTGGAGACAAACCCAGTTCTGAGAGCAGCCATTCGATCACTACAGCAAGCAAGGTGATGAGGTCCTCCTAAATGAGGTGATGAGACCTCCCAATGGTCTCCTAAAGCCCCTTCCCCTCCCCAAGCCTCCATAGTGTCCACCAAATTTCAGCTTGCGTTTTGGAGGGGGAAAACCGTTGTGTAGAAGATGGGGCAACTGTGAAGGTGTGTGTAAAGAGTTTTGGAGGCGCCTTGAATGACAGCTGTCTATTATGCATGCTCATCTAGGTTTTCAACTCTGATGGGATTCCGAACTTTGATGCAGTTTTAGTCTTTGGGGAGTGCTTGTTTGAGCAGCTCTGTGGGCACTGGTCTCCCTGACCTCTTTTCCTGGTCTCCCTGACCTCTTTTCCTGGTCTCCCTGACCTCTTTTCCTGTGACGTGTCCTGTTTCCTTCAGCTTCTCTCTCCTCCTTTGCCTTTCCTTTGTGTTCTGTCGACGCCTGCTCAGTGGTGAGAGAAGACAGACTGGCTTTAAACTCTTCATTCTCCTGCCTCAGTCTCATGAGCGATGGGGTCACAGATGTGTGCACCACACCCAATGCAAAACTGAAAATTCTTAATTGTGATAAAACGAAAACATTGATTTTATCTCGTGGTTTCAGCCTTGTAAGTCTTGTCTATGGATCTCACCCACATTTATTTCCATGTAGCAAATGTGTCGTTATATGTTTCTATTGGCTGGATGGTTATCTTTCGCACATAGGTCCCTAATTCTCCTGGAACCCACAGTGCATGTGGTAGATCTAGCTCTCTTCTTCCCACATAAAGAGCACAGTTTTCTTAGCAACCATTTGCTAAATATTTTGTCCTTCTATACTGGCTTATGAGGCTTTTCCTGTTGGAATCCAAGTTCCTGGACATGCACTGGCCTTATGTCCAAGCTCTCTGTTTTGACCCGAGGCGTCAGAAATGTACCTTCTTATTACGAAGACCCTGCGATGCACTGATGTTTTAATGAGGAAAATTCTTCTTCTTCTCTATCTCTTTTTAAATGATCAAGGGAGTCATGTGGAAACTTTCATTCATCTTTACAAATTTTGGAATATATAAATTTACCAAGTTCTGGATTCTTTTTTTTTTTTTTTCTTCCAAGTTCTGGATTCTTCTGCTTCTGCTTTCCAGTGCCAGGATTGTGGACATGTGCTACTAGGCCTAGTTGGAAATGGTATTTTTATAATTGCCCCACATAACAACATGGATTATTCAGTTCATTTAGAGTCTTGCCACTTTAGTAGAGGGCAATGGGATCTTTCTTAGAATACTAGCTAGCTCTGTCTTGTTTTTTTTGCTGCCATTAGGAATGATATCTTTTAAAAATATTTATTTATTTTTAAGAATACATATAAATAAATAAAACATGTTTTGCCTGTATGTCTGTGTACCACATGTGTAACTGATACCCATAGAAGTCAGAAGAGGGCATTGGTTCTCCTGGACCTGGAGTTGTAGACAGCTGTGAGCCACCATGTAGGTGCTGGGAACTGAACCTGGGTCTTCTGCAAGAACAGCAGGTGTTCTTAACTGCTGAGACACCTCGCCGGCCCCTATTTTTATTTTAATATGTATGAGTGTTTTGCTTGTGTGTATGTATGTACACCATGTGCATGCCTGTGTCCTGCAAAGGCCAGACAAGGGTATGGAATCTTCTGGAACTAGAGTTAGGATGGCTGAGAGCCTTCATGTGAGTGGTGGGAATGGAACCCAGGTTCCCTGCAAAAGCTGAAAGTGCTCGTAATGTCTGGACTATCTCTCCAGCCACAGGAATGGCATCCCCATTCTCTTTAGTGTTATGAATGGTTATTATGGTGAGGGAAAAGTACTATTGATTTTATAAGTTGATGTTACATATATCCAGCAACTTTCTTGTGAATTCTAATAAAGAGTTCACATTCTGTGTAGATTTCTACATTGTCCACACATGACATTTTTAAATCCCTTGCCCTCAATTCCCAGACCTCTGATTTCTTTTTCTTGCCCTGTAACTTTGGCCACCATCTCTGGCTCTTTGTTACACAATGGCAATGCTAATAGGCATCTTTGTTATGCTGCCAATCTTTTATTTATTTTTTGGTGCTGAGGATGGAACCCCGGGCTTCACACATGCCGAGCCTATATTCTGCTGTACTTGTAGGCCAAATGCTGCCAATCATGGTTTTTACATTTTTTGTTCTGAGATGGAGTCTCACTCTTGTGAGACTTCCAGAGTAGCAAGGACAGGGGCTGTGTGCCACTGTGTCCAGCTCCAATGCTGCCAGTCCTAATGAGGGTGATTCCAAAGTTCCTTTGTTAGGTGTGGCTTGTGCTGGAGGGGTTTGATGTACAGTCTTGTTGACGATGTGGTTCTGGTCACACTTTAGTTTCCTAAATTATTCTGTGGTTCTCTGTGCTATGAAGGGCTGCCCTTTTCCCAGGTCCCAACCCACAGGGAGCAGGTAACTTCAATACTGGAACAGCACTGTAGCCCAGACACTGATGTTTAGCAAAGAAGTCACTATAGGAAGCCCATTCCACCATTTAGGAAAGTTAATCCAGGCAGATAGAGATACCACCTCTTTACGGTGGCATCATTCAATACATTGCCCAGTGGCTAGGCCCACCACTGAGGCGTATCTGTGGCATACCCATGCATGTGTTGGGGTGTGTGTGTGGCATGTAGGGATGTTTTGGAGTTTGAATGGGACCTGCCCTTTACAAGCTGTATGATCATGAATAAGTTATCTGATCTCCTTAACCCTTGATGTCCTCATCTGCAAAACACGGAAAGGGGTGGTCCCCAGGGAAGCCACACGTGGGTTAAGTGACCCAACCCCCAGAACAAACATGTGGCAGGGCAGTCACTGTCAGCTGTGGTATCAGTGATCCCTAAAAGGAACGGTGCCACCGGTGTGGGAAAAGCAGACATTCCACAGAGTCTTTAAGGCTACGAGAAATGCTCAGATAAGGGGGTGGGGTGGGGAGGGGGAGTGAACACTATATGCAGACGAAGCCAACATTTATTTTAAATGTTTTAAAGCTTGGAAAATGAAAGACTGAAGGGAGATAAATGAATATGAGGATTCTTAGTAATTTTTTTTAAACAAGGTCTCTTTTATAATTTTTCTGTGTTTCCAAATTTTCCTGCAGTGAATGTATTACTTTCATAAATCTTTAAAACATGTTTTATAGTAACAAAAATCTCAGCGTGACTCATCAGGGACAAGGCTGCCAAGTGTCTGGGCTGTGGTGGTAGATATGTGTGCCCCTAAACGGGCCTGTGTGTCTGGCACAGGCCTGGCCCCTCGGGATCAGTGTTTTGTTTATCTCTGGGCATGGGTAGCCATGGCGATCTTAAGTGCCACAGTGGAGCAGATATGGCCAGTATGTGAAGGCCGCAGAACCAAAAGGGAAGACAGCCGAGAGAGTAGGAGGGTGAGTGGAAGAACAGGGGATCCCCGGCATGGAGGACGAGTGGAGAAGAGAGGCAGGATGGAGAGCTAGCGAGACTCCAAGTCTGAGACAAAGACAGGGTTGGATAGAGATCAAGATAGAGATGGCAGACAGATGGGAGGGAGAAGACAGAGGGGCGGACACAGAGCCAAGGTAGAGAAAGAGAAGAGGAAGACACAGGAGACAGAAACAGATGAGAGACACAGACAGAGAGGATGGGGGAGGGTGGGGGAGAGGCCGGAGGGAGGGGTGTGGCTGTGGGAGGGGCCTCTATTGCTGCTTCTGTTCTGTGCCTGGTATGGGGTCCCTGCTCAGCATTCCTGCTCAGTCATGGGGTCCAAATGTGAGTCTGGCATCCTTACAGATCCCATCCACTGTCCCGCGGTCCAGGATCCTAGGACTGATGTGAGCAATGTGACCTTCCAGGACAGAGTCCCTGTCTTTGGGTTGTGACCTGCAGTGTTTGGATGCTCCAAGCAAGGAGACAGATCCTACCCAGATGTGAATGAAACCGAACTGCTCAGGCTGAAGGTGGATGGAGGCCCCGCCCCAGCCCCTCCTGAGAGGCCCCGCCCCAGCCCCTCCTGAGAGGCCCCGCCCCAGCCCCTCCTGAGAGGCCCCGCCCCAGCTCCTCCTATGTCTCTTTGAATCCCAGCTCTTTGGCAGGGTCTGGGGGTTTGATCTTCTATCACAGGCGTGTGCCCTCAAGTCTTCCTCCCAGCTCTTGTTTCAAAGCCTTATTCAGGCGGCGGTTTTTAGTCACATCCACCCAAAAGCTCGAGAGTAACAAACAGAGTGACCGAGACACGGGTGAGCAGGACGTAAACCTGAGGCTTTAGGTAAAAGGGACCCAGGGACACCGTCCAAGATGCAGCCTTTGCAGGGCATGGACCATCACACCCTGGGCCAACACTCAGTCTGCTCTTCCTCTAGCCCTGTAACCGTCATAAAGTTCCAAGTGTCTCTACGCCTGAGATCCCTCAGCTCTTAAAGCAAGTGGTACCCTCTCTGTCCAAAATGACAGCTGAATACGGAAGCAGAACAGGAGGCCGGCAGCCCCTCAGGGGATGGTGGATGAGACAATGGGCCACCAAAAGGAGTCCTAGCACAGAGTTTGCAGACAGGACAGCCTGGGAAAACATGAGAGCAGCATGCTGGCCCAGGAGCGTCACAAAATTCACAGAGCCCCCCTTTATCACAGAGCTACATTCAGCCTCGGGGAGGCGCCCAGGGACTGAGAAAAATGTCCATGACTTAGAGAATTCCAGACGATGAAGATGAAGACACGAACAGTACTGGCCTTGGGCTGGGGCCTCTGTGGAGAAAGACTGTAGCAGAGGTGACCGCTGCATGCTTGTGGTTTACATGTCCCCCATAGGCTCGTGTATGAGATGTTTGCTCCCTGACTGGAGAAGCTGATTTGGGAGGCCATGGAACTTGTAAAAGGCGGCCTCAGCTGGCAAAAGTAGGGGATGAACCTTTGAGGGCTGTACCCAAGTTCAGCCCCGCCCACTCTCCTTGGCATCACATGCCCGCCCCCCCCCTCCCGCTGCCACTGAGCAGATCTAAGGTTGGGGGGTGCAGACTGAGGGTTCCAGGTCCTCGTGGCCCTGAACAACGCACTGGACGGGTGAGGCGCAGCCGCAAAGGAGATAGTTTAGGAACGTGAGCTGCGCGATGGGTCAGAGCCGGACCCAGGTCTGGACCTGAGGTCAAAAAGTGGGACCTATGGCCTTTGAGGGGTCGTTTACTTATTACCCCCCCCCCCGTGTGTCCATGCTCCATTTTATCACACAACAGAGGTGGGGCCGGGGTTTTCCAGTCTTTCTCTGCTGTTGCTCCCCTCCGTGAGCTCCCCTAAAACGGCGCCACCAATACTACAGACCAAGTGTTCAAACAGGAGCCTGTGGGGGAAATTCCACATTTGGGCCCAGGAGCATGGGAACTTTTAGCGTTTAGGGGATTCTTGAAGTAGAACAAGCGAGATGCATGCTGGCCTTGCCCGTCCCACGTGGACGCGCTGTCTCGGCATGCTCAGAGAGGATGCGTCCCGCCGTGCTGCCTGTGGATTTGCCCTTTGTACCGCTGGTTTACAGTTTCCCCGCACTGCCCTTATTAACTCCTAAAAAGTGAAGGTGTCGTGGAGAGGATGGCGACAGGAGGAAGGGGTGGCCAGTTTGGCTTTTGCTCCTGTGCTTGGGTGACAGAGGCACTTTGATGGTTAGTTTTGTCCACTTGGCACAGCCTCACATCCTTTGGGAAGAATGTCTTAATGACAGATGATCTAGAGCAGGCTGGTTGGTAGGCATGTCTTGGGGCGGGGGATATCTGGATTACATTAGTTCATGTGAGAAGACCTGCCCCGCATGGGTGGCAACATTCCCTAAGCGGGAGGTCCTGAACTGTATCCGTGGGGGAAGCGAGCTGAGCTAGGCATGCGTGCATTTTACCCCTGTTCTCCTGACTGTGGTTGTGACTAGATGTCTCGAGCTTTGTTTGCACCTTGACCTCCCCACCATGATGGCCGGTAACCTGGATCTGTGAGCTGAAATCAGACCCCTTCTCCCTAAATTGCTTTTGCATTATTTTTTTAAATTACAGCAACATGAAACAAAACTAGGAGGAATAACGGTGACTCCCCATCCAAAGCACACAGATAAACTGGCGTGTGATCGAGAGCTGGCTTAGACACGTTGGAGGTGGGATTCTCGTGGGACAGAGACAGAGTCTTTATCACCAACAGTTAGGGGAGCAGGGCTCCGGCATGGGGAGCTACAGGGCTCAAGAAACCTGGTGGGCAGGCATGGGGAGTCTTCAGTGGCCTCAACAATGAGGCTGATACTGGTTGTTTTTCACAGTCCTTCTCCCAGCTGAACCCTGAAATTACTTGGGGGTGGTAATGTCTGTGCAGAGGAATCCAGCTCCCAGAGGCCCCGCATGGCTAAGAGTTACCATTCATGATTTGTAAGTACAGCTTATGTCTGTGAACGTCTTTGCATGGCTTTGGAACAGGCTCTCACTGTGTAGCCTTGGCTGACCTTGAATGCATGGCGATTCTCCTGCCTCAACCCTCCAAATGCTGAGATGATAGGTCTGTGACACCTTCCTAAGAAGTGCTTGTAAATTCTTGAAGTGGGGCCATGCCGTCCTTTACCCTCTCAGACGTGATGTTCCGCTGGAGCCCTCACCTTGGTCTGGGAGGCTGTGAGGAAGGAGGAGGCCCTGCAACAGCTGGACCTGCATTTCACATACAAGTAAACGTGGCCTGTGGAAGTCACTTTTCATGTAGCTTTCTGTGACATTCAGATGAACTTGGTCTAAATGAATCCACGATAATTCTGTGACATTTGGTCACGCTTCTGCCTCACACCTGGGGGCATTTTCGCCTCGGCATTAATCTGTGCGAGATTAACAGGGCTCCAGCCTGGCCTGGCCCGGTTGGCAGTTTGAAGTGTTGAGCGCCACCTGGCGGCCGCACGGCACATGGCGCTACCCGGAGGTGCCCCGAGGGAAGTCTGTTTCCCAGCCATTTGCATCGCAGGCCCAGTTTATCCTTGGGTCGGCACCCTGAGTCTTGAACGTCAGCGGCTTGGCAAACACTACAGGAATTTAAGACACCATCGAGCTTCCTAGCTTATGTGGGCTCCGGAAATTGAGGGGGTTTGCTTCTAGGAAGTGTCTGGCTATCCTTCCCCTCCTGCCAATTGAGAACTGGCTACTAAATAAAGATGCCATGTGACCTCCCTTCGGCAGACTCCCGGTCTCAGAGCAACAGTTAAAGTGGAGAGGAGGGAGGCAGATGACTCACCGAAACTCCGGAGCAGGAAATTAGCACCCTGGGAGCCTGACCCGGCAGCAGCTCTTACAGAATTGATTGGCGGCGGTTTGAGCCCTGGGTGGAGTGGCTTTAATGTAGCCGAGCTTATTAATACTTCCTTCTGCTGACCTTGGGCACAAACCTAAAATGGAGCTAGGTATGGTGGCTCAAGGCCTGTAATTTTAGCGCTCAGGAAGCTGAGGCAGGAGGATTGCTATGAGTTCCAGGGCAGCCTGAGCTCAAGGACAAAACACACGAACAAAAAAAAGACCCCAAACAAATTCTGAAATGACCAATAATGGCTCCTACCAGCGTTCTTCAAGGTTTAGACATTGGCGAGGTTGGTGGAGAGACTCTGGGCGGGGCCACACAGCCAGCCACCCACTCTGGTCACTGCAGGTGGTGGGCTGTCTTCTCCCTAGAGGACCCTTTTCGAATGGGCCCGCCTGATGCTGCCTGGGTGCAGGGTCCCTCTCAGCCTTTGGACTAAGTGTGGCTCCAAGCAACAGAGACAAGATGGCAGAGGTCTTGGAGAAAGCGCAGCGGAGAGCAAGACTTAGCAGACAATTTCTACCTTTCAGTCAGGAGCAGAAACTGCAGCCCCCTGGTGGCCGCCGCAGTGTGCAGGCTGCTCCCCAGTGGGGTGTGTGGGAGGAAGGCATGGATCCGTGGCAAGTGCTGTTCTGAGAACTCAATGTCTGTGACTTGCTGTGCTTGGGTCAGTGAAGCAGGTGAGGTGGGGAGCCCTGGCCATGTGGATGACAGCCCCAGGGCAGACAGAGTGGCCACAGGGTCATGGTCTCAGCTGACACTGAGAAGCCGAGCCAGAGACACAAAGAACTGCTTGCCACCTAGGCAGTGCGCCCTTCAGGCCTGGGACGAGGGGACTTGAAAGTCAGCTGGACATTTTCCTGCTAGAGAAATTGGGATCTCAGAGGTCATGTGACTCCTCTGCGAATCTGCAGAGCTAGGTGGCACCAGACTTCTACTCCAGCAGAGATTCCTTCCACAAGGTTGTGGGGTCCAGACAACCCAGAGGCCCCTGTTCCAAAATGTTTTATCTTGTTTTGTACTTAAAATAACCAAGTTTTGCCGGGCGGTGGTGGCGCACGCCTTTAATCCCAGCACCCGAGAGGCAGAGGCAGGTGGATCTCTGTGAGTTCAAGGCTAGCCTGGTCTACAAAGTGAGTTCCAGGAAAGGCACAAAGATACACAAAGAAACCCTGTTTCAAAAAACCAAATAAATAAATAAATAAATAAATAAATAAATAAATAAATAAATAAATAAATAAATAAATAAATAAAATAAAAAACCAAAGCAACAACAACAACAAAACCAAGTTTTTGTTTGTTTTGGGTTTTTAGAAAGGGTCTCCATGTTCACTTAGACTGGGCTTGATCTCCTTCAGAGAGAGCTCTGATCCATGCTGATGCTGAGCCAGGGTTTCTGTCTGGTGGAGAATGCAGCACAGGTGGTCACAGCCTCCTTCCCGTCGTCCCTCTCCCAAAGGCCTCTAAAGCAACAGGTTCCGTGGCCACATGGCTTCCTCCTCCTTATGTAAAGCAGTCGAGTTCTCCAACAGCTTTCCATTTGCATCTCCACCTGGCAGCGGAGGAACCACAAACAAAATCACATTCTGCTTTACATGGGGCTGACATGAGTCAGGGCTACAGGGACACAGGTGGGCAGGACACACCTTGCTCATGTCCTCTGCTCCCCCTCCGCTGCAGGCTGGGCTGGCTGAGGGTCTTTGTAAAGACGGCTCAGGGCGCGGCAGGAGTATCTCTTCTCAGAGCCCGGCCCCACGTGCTCCTCAGCGTCTGTTCCCATGCGTGTGGCACTCCTGCCAGCCTGTCTGTCCCGGGGGAGAATGGCTCTGTTCCTGGTGAGGCACAGGTGGGTGGCTGTGTGTTGAGCAGGGCTCCCCCTCCTGGGAATGTCTTTTGATCTAGAAACCAAAAGCACACAGAGAGGTGTCCCAGGCAGATCCCAGCCTAGATCCCTGCCCCCTGCCCACATTCTGGGGCCTGTGAGCTGCCAAATGACCAGGGCCATCTGGGGCCATGGAGGCAGATCATCAAACCAAGATCTTTACCATCTGCTATCCCAAAGGGTGTTGCTGGGGTCCTCCTCCAGAGCCTTTACCCACGGCTGTGACTTTGTTTCCAGGCAGGTGGTGTCTGTCCGAGCTCAGTTGGCCCTGGGTCCTGAGGCAGATGGTCCTGGAACTGCTTAAAGGACAGCAGTGCCTGGGGTCAGATGGGGACAGAGGTGACACCTTTTCCTGCCTTCCCACCTGTGTTTTTGGGTCTGGGTGTGTTTACCAGAACGATACTGGAGGGGGCCCCAGGGGCCATCTGTGACACAATGTCCAGGTCCTTCTTGTCTGGAACAAGGACTTGAGACATAGAGTAGCAGGAAAGTGTAGATGTATTAGGAGTGAGAGTGAGTACAGTGTGTTCTCCATGGACAGAGGGAGCCTGAACAAGCTTGTGGCTCATAGGCCCTCTGCCTGGGGCTTTTCTTTACAAAGTGTGTGTGTGTGTGTGTGTGTGTGTGTGCGCGTGCATTTTCTTGATAGGAGTGGACCTTTTCTTAACTGTAGCAAGTGTTCGATTCTTCTTTTTGGTTTGCACAATCCTTGGAGGTCCAGGGCAGTCCAAGGGAAGGTCTTTCGGTCTTTCTTGGTTGCTGGGCACCAAGTTAGCCGTCCTATGACTCACAGTCACGTGTGTCTGACTCTGGAACCCTCCCCTGTTCTCCTCTGTTCTGCTGCAGGGACAGACTCCTGCAGGCCATGTCTCTGTTCTTCCCGCTCCCATCCTTGGGAGGCGCTGCTGGGGCACTACAGCTGGATGGAGCCGGTTCTTCCTGTCCCCGTCCAGCAGTGACAGTGACAGACAAGACCACAGAGGTTCCAGCTTCCCTGGGTAACCCATCGCTGGCCTTGGGGGCACCTCCCCCTCCTGTCCCTTGCCGTTCCTCAGCTGTGGTGTCAATTCTGGAATGCCTGGCTCACTTGTCCTTGGCTCCTTTATGCCCTGAGATACCAGTTCTCCGAAGGTCACGTCTCTGCATTAAACACTGGACAATGTCTTTTCTCCAGACCCATGCAGGCTTACACCGCAGAGGAGGACCTTGAGTGTCTTTCTCTGCTGCTCTCTGCCTCATTCCCTTGGGATAAGGTCTCTCACTGGGTCTAGAGCTAGGCTGGCAGCCGACCAGTCCTCCTCTCTACCCCACACAGTAAGGAAGTTACAGACATCAGTGGCCAGATTTCTTAGTACATGCTTGGGGGCTAGAACCCAGGTCCTCATGTTTGTGCGGTGGCGGTGATAGGCCTCTCCCCCGGGCCAGCTCCCCAGCTCCTCTCCTGCCTTTTGACAATGAACCTGTCAGGGTCACAGAAACTCTCAGCTGATAGCCACTTCAGTTTTCCTACGCGTCTCAGGTCAGCCTGACCCCTGGCTCGAGGGCTCTGCCAGGTCAGTCCTTCCTTTCCTACGCCTGAGAACAGGTGTGTGTGCGGGGTGGGGGTGGGGTGGGGGGTGGGGGGTGGTGGGGTGGTGGTGGTAATTTTTAGGATAACTAGTTTTGGAGGAGGTGTCTTCTGGCTCACACAGCCCTCAGGCTCTGCTTGGAAGATAATGCAAATAAGGCTCCGTTGCTGTGCTTGAGGTCGTGCAGGCCATCGTGGAGCTGGGAACTGCGTGGGGTCCAAGGACTCTGCAGCCCCCACCACGAAGCCTCTATCCCCACCAAGTCGCTCACGTGAGCTAATGTAGTAGGACTATCCTTCCAGACTCCTGCGGCCATCGTTACAAGGTGCTCAAACTGGGTGCCTTGTAATAACAGGAATTTATTCTCTCAGAGCCCTAGATGCTGGGGTCTGAGAGCCAAGTGTTGGCAGGGCCATGCGCTCACCAAAGGTTTTAGGGGAAGATCCTTCCTTATGCTCACTGATTTCGAGAAGGCCACTGTTCCATGGTAGCGTTGTTCTAATCTCTGCCTCTGTTTTCATTTTTAAGTTATTTTTCTTTTTAGATAGGGCCCCAGTTTGTAGCCCATGTTGGGCTCAAGCTTGTGATCCTCCTGCCTCAGCTTTCTGAGTATTGGGCTCATAGGACACATGCCACCACATTTGGCTGTCTCCATCATCAAGCTTTTAAAAAAGAATATTTATTTAATTTGTGTGTATGTTATCTGCGTGTACCTGTGTGAACCATGTGTGTGCCTGGTGCCATCATCAGTCAAAAGTGGGCATTGGATACCCTGGAGTTTGAGTTACAGGCATCTGTGAGCCTTGTGGATGCTGGGGATGGAAACCGGGTCCTCTGTAAGAGCAGCAGCAAGTGCTCTTAACTGCTGAGCCATCTCATCACCCCTAGGCCCCTTTCTTTATGTGGACTTCTTTTGTAAATGTGTCTCTCTGTATCCTTTCCTATTGGAAGAAAGGAAGGAAAGGAGGGAGGAAGGGAGGGAGGGAAAAAGAAAGAGGAGATGAAGAGAGGAGAAGGCAAGTCAGAGGGAGTTATTGCAGTCGTGGGTGGCCCACAGAGGCCCCATCTGGCAGGCCAGGCCACGGTAGGAGCAATTTATAGCCAAGAAGTAATTGAACAGATTCAGGTCTCACAAGCCCAAACAGAGTCCCGGATTCTTGCTGTTCGGGAAGCTCATTAAAAAGAAGAATGAGAAGAAGGCAGCAGACCAGGGAATAGAGCTCTCTCCAGAGTCTGGGGATTTTTCCAAAGCCCAAAGTCAAGAGCATCCAGCACATTTCGCCCTCTGAACTGTGGCGGTGAGCTCTGGGGCTGTCTCCAGATGGGAGCCCACCCTGTAGAGACTCCGCCCACCTGGTTCCCCTGCCAGCCACAGAGTCTGCTCTCACCTGGTCTTCAGGTTTGACTCACTTACCTTGTCTGTGGAATCATTCAGAGCAGCCAATCACAGCCTCCTGTGGGAGCCAGTGAGACTGGCCTTCTTGCCGCTGCCCAGCCAGCCTATGGTCCCGGGGGTTGCCGGCTCACTCTGTTCCCCAGAGCTTTTAGGAGATGTGACTGATGGCAGTTGCTGTGTGTTTGGCTCACTTGTACTAGTTAGTGCCGGGGAGTCTGTCCTCACTAACGGGGTGAGGTGGAGGCTATCTGAACATTCTAAACAGGGAGCAGTCTCAGCTCTCAGGCTATGCTGAGGTAGCCTGGGATCGTTGCCCATCTCCAGTCTCTTGGAGCAGGAAGGGAGTTCACTGACGTGAGGGAAGAGGTCAGTGTGTGTGTGTGTGTGAGTGTGCCCAGCTCCTCTCTCTGCAGCTAACCAGGGAGGCTCCCCTAGGGAATAACCCTGAGAGCTGGCATATGCCTGCCTGGAGTAGGCATGAGGGAGAGCCGGTGCCCTGGAATCTGCAAGGTCATGAAGTCTACATGAACTTGAGAACTGGAGCCTACTTCTTGTCAGAAGTTTGAATCAACTGGAGATGGCCAGGCAGGGAGAGCAGCCAATGCTACCCCTCTTCAGTGATAAGGCTGGCGTCCTGCCCAACTGGGGGGACTCCAGAGAGTGGCTTGTCCTGTTAGGTCTTGCACACACCTACTGTGGACTGAATTGTGTCTGCAAGCCCATGCTTCCCCCACCTGCCTACCTTCTATGCCCCCCACCTGCCTACCTTCTATGTTCCCCCACCTGCCTACCTTCTAT